TGCTTCAGAAAGGGACAAGAATCTTGGGATAGGTGCCTTCCAAGGGAGAGGAAGAACTGTGAGAAGCATTAATGGCATTGTGTCTTTTGATGCAGCAAATATTTTTTATTTAACATTCATCATGTCTGTTGATCACACTTTGTGTGTTTGTGTGCATGGATGTGTGTGGCATCTGGTGTCTGTCTATTGACAGCAATGGTGAGTCAGGCACTTCTGTGCCAGGCGATGGATGGGGCATGATCCAGCTTCTATCAGGTTTGGGGTGCAAGGAGAATCATGCATCTCTGGTAGCTCTTTCTTGGCATCTGTATATTGCTACCATTTTGATGTAGTTTTAATAGAATTAAAATTTTAAAATTCTGAGTACATAAAGCATTGTATTTCTCATCAATATCTTCACCATGTTTGGTCCCACTGCCACCCTCCTGGCAGGGGGTTGGCTCCTGTGATCCTACAGGTTCTTGTGTGAGAGGTCAGAGGGTCGCCCTCCCTGGAATCCCTGAGCTGTGACAGTGCCCTTCAATGAAGTGTTTTTTCACCAAAGCTTTTGGGAAGGACTAAGAACAGAAATCAAGCTATGAGAAGAGAAACATACAAGAGTCAAACATACCTGAAGGGAAAATCGTGTTTTAATGCACATAAAGACTATTTGTATTTAGAAAATTCACACCTTAAAAAAAGTTAAACATCTACAAAATATGTCTCAATCTTCACCATGACTGGGTGACAAAGGTTTCTGCTATGGATAAACTGATGCCACATTGTTCGTCACTACACTGTGTGGGTTTCTGCATTATTAATTATGGTTACCTTGCAAACACCCTCACACCAAACACTGCACTATGAATGGGATCACTTAACTGCCACTTGGGCTTGCTTTTGAAGTTAGTACACAATACACTGCCAGGGTCATTTGGGGTGGAATCACTTGCTATCCTTAGAAGGAACCTGAAACCTGTATGCTAATTCATTTTGAAAATAAAAATGATATTGCCCCCTTTTACATCTACTGCTATAATACTGTCTACAGCAAAATATAGGTGCTGGGGATTTAGCTCAGCGGTGTAAGTGCCTTCCTGGCAAGCATGAGGCCGTGAGTTTGATCCCTGGTACAAAAAAATAAAAGCAAACTACAGACAAGTTCAGGGGTTTCTGTCATTGTTTTCCTAACTATCTATACCAAGACTTTAAGGCACAACATATTCTTTTGTTTTGATTTTTTTTTCTTTCTATATGCTATGGAAACTGATTTCAGTAGATTTTGTAAGTAAGAAGTATACAGCTATTCAAAAAATAGAAACACATAGAAACCAAATAATGCAAGGAAACTAGTGGAAAAGGTTCACTGTGACTATCCATGAAACTGTGTTTTTGAATTTACTGTATTTTCCACATTTTCTAAGACAAAGATGCTTAGGTTTAATCATTTAAGAGTATATGTTATTATTAATTTTTTAAAGGGTATGGTGAAGTAAATTATGAATGCCAATGCACTTAAAGTCATTCAAGATATTATGCAACCTAGAATGGCAAGTGTTTGAATCCTTCCACAAACTGCATGAATTCCAATTCAAATGCTGTCTGCTTTTATACAACCACAAACCCCCTACAGAGAGGTTTTTCTTTCGCAGCACAATGAACTGCCTTTATCAAAGAGTGCAAAGAATCTTCAACTGAGTTCAATTTGAGGAATATAAAATATCACTGTTATGCAGTGAAACCATCCAAGAAATGCTTTCACAATGCCTCGTGCTATGAAAAACTAGAATATCATTCTATTTTTACACACCTCACATTTTTAAACAATTACTGATTTCTAAAATATACACCTGTTATCTAAACTTCTCTTGCTAAGTCAAGCCTTCCCGAACAGGAATCTGAGGGCTGGGCTATTTTTACAGCTTTATAAGTGGTTCGCACTCCCTGTCAAGCTTTCCGAGACTAATCCCAACGAATTTCCTGGGCAGAATTCCTATTATCTTCCCTCAGTGACGTGGATCTAAATGCAATTCCGCACTCGCTCCACAGTGGTCCCCTCACACTCCTTGTTCACCAAGTGCTTGTTAATGGAGCAGTCATTTATCAAGGGCTATCTCACTTAATCCATATGACAGCTCACATAGGAAACTATCACATGAAATTTTGTTTTTCAGTACTGAAGACTGAACTCTGAGCATCTACATTAAACTACATCTCCAGACTTTTTTTTTTCTTATTTTGAGACAGGGTTTCCTGAGTTACTGAATTGCCCATGCTGAGCTCAAACTTGTGACCCTGCAGCAGTCATCCACACAGCTGGGACTGCAGGCATGGGCTACGTTGGTTCAATTACTTCACCGCTGAAGATGAGAACGTTGCTTTTGAAACTGGCAAGCAGAGCTCACAACTCTTTTTGCGCCGTTTAATTTTCAAGTGTTTACAACATGTGACATATGGTTCTAGAGTAGAAAATGCAAGCCATGCTCCTAAGGTCACCGTGTGGGGTACACTTATGACAAAAAGAAGTTTACGCTGCTTATGAGAAATTCAGACTTAAGTGTACCAAAGGTGGGTTGCTAATTCTGGTAGGTCCACAGGTTCCTCGCCCGCGCAGCATACTGTAAGCTCAGCTGCCTCAGTGGCTGGCCCTGTCCTCCATGGAATGGCTGGGCCGGCAGTGGATGAGATGGGGACATCAGAGGTGCTTGGATGAAGAGCACAAGGACACAGGGGAGACAGATCACCAGGTGCTTCAAATATATTCCCAGCTGCTACTGCAGCCAAGGTGGAGCCATAAGACAGGCACTCACAAACTCCAAGGTACTCTGTGGCTTCTCTCATCCCTTATGAGAAGCTTCTGTGTTTGATTTAGAGCCAAGCACCTGAAGAGCTGAAGGTACTGGCCTATTTACAAGAGGACTTCCAGAGAAAACAGGGCATCACTGGAACCACGCTAATAGGAAAGCCTTTTCTGAAGCTTGCTAAAGACAAATGATGGAAGCAAGACTCAGCAGCACCAGTCTCTGGCAGATCGATGCCTGACCCCAAAATAAGAGGCATCTGCCTCTTGGAGGATGGTCAGAGCTCACCTTCCCTAAAGGGGAACTTTGGGGAAGAGCTACCAACCCTTCATGACCCCTCCTCCCACATGCCGCGATCTGGAATCAACTCAGCCTCAACCTCTTTTATCCCCCTACACCCCAGATGCAAAAAGGGACACGGACAAATCACATCACAGAAATAGGCACCTTGCGTCAACAGGTGTCTGTGAGTTTCTACTGGGAGGAAGAGACTGTGCTGCCTCTGGAGAAATGATGGGAAGTCTGCCACACTGCCCAGGGTTCGGGTGTGGGAGCTGGCACACACTGAGCAACGACACAACCCTCTCAGGGAATGAAGCGATGACATAGGTGCCACTGTGCTGACAGGCTGTGAGGGGCAGCGAATGGGGGCCTCAGGACCATGTAGAGATCTTGAGCTGGGTCCTCACAATGAGGAGGAGATTCCCAAGCAGAAAAAAAGGGCTGAGAAGAAGGGCAGAGCCAGTACTTTTTTTAAAAATGAGGTCACTAAAATCCCAGGAAGAAAGAAAAGTAAGAAAGACCATCTCCTATCACTGTGGGAAGCCCAGGGCACCCCAGACAGAGGGGCTGCTGAGCCAGCATTTGCCCATGGAGCAGTGCACAAAAATGATGTTGGATGTGTTGTGCAAACCTGGAGGTAGGAGGCCATTTAACAACCCCACAGCACACGGCCTTGACGCTGAGTGATGGAACTGGATAAAGGCAGCCCTGGAAATCCCCTAGCGTTCCAGCAGGCTAAAGGAAAGTTCACCAAGTAACCCTGGCTGGGCCATGTTTCAGTCTTCCCAGAACAACCAAAAGGGGTGAGGTGACATGCTCTGTGCCGGTACTAAGCCAGCTTCCTTCCATTCACTGAAAGCTAATCAGCCATCATGCCACGGCATGTGATCGGTTGTGCACAAGGACTCCTTCAAATCTGAAGGCAAAAGCAATGATTCTAGAAAGTGAGTATACTGCTCTTGAATACCCAGGATGTAAGCTAGATTTAGCTTCTCTTAGGTCTATGTAGGAACTGTGTAGCCCCTGCAGTTATAAAAGGTACGTATGATAATCCAGAAAACTTGGCAGAATTAATTAAGTGCCACTCTACTGCCAAATCATGCCTTCCTTAGACTCCAGAAGAATCTAAATCTACACAGGGCATCCTCCTTCAAGTTTAGTATCAACTTTCCTATGGGATGAATGTAACATGCTTTATGAGGATCATCCTCAAAACATTCTGACACGATAGGTAATTTAACTGCAGGGACTACTTATGTTTCCCAGAGAAGGGACAGTAAATTTGAGGAAAACATACTGAAGACTCTATCACAGTGGTTCCCCACAGCCTCATCTTCCAACTGCATGAAGGTGTGGGCCTGGACATGGGGACACGTACCTTTCACAACTTGAAAAATAGAAGCTGAGAACTATTTCCTTGGATTTTAAATTTACTAGTAAAGAGTTAAGACAAGACGCACAGAAAGCTAAGTAGGGGCTCAGGATGTACGAGAAGGCAGCTTGATCTCTGACTCCACTGGAGAACACAGTGAAGACAGGAACATGGTTACTTTGTGGAGGCTGGTTGCCAGATTTTGAAAAGCTGTTTCTTTTACTAGGAACAAACATGCCTCAAGACAACGTATTTACCTACTCCCTGCCTCAGTTGGCCCTAAAGTGGAGATGCTGCCAGTATTCACATCTCCTGGTGTGATGTGAGGAACAAATGAGTTCATTTATGTTAGAAGGATCCCAGGCACACGTGAGGTCCATGCAGTGCATGCTCTGAGGGGCGCATTCACCCTATTACCCGTGGACTTCATGACGCTCACACAGCATTTCACTCTGACACCAAACCATCCAGCATACTTCCATTTCAGCAGAGAGCTCACATGTAGCTGCACAGACATAAAAGCAAGCCCGAAAACATCTGCAGGGGCAAAACATAACATCTCTCACCTGGCTCCTACCACAAGCTCTTTCTGTCCTGGGTCAAATGTTAACTGCGAGAAATCCACAGCATTCTTCGCTCTGAACTCCCGCAACCAGGGGCCAATTTCTAAACAGAAAAAATAAATATATGAAAAGATAAAAATGAATGATACCCCCCCCAGGGAACCACAGAAAAGGCACATCAGGTAGCAAACATTACACTTGAGGAGGATTTAGAGGTCCCCCATAAGGTCCTTAGGGGCCACTGGAGGTCTTTCATCAAGATGTCACAAAATCACACAGAGAATGTGTGAAAATGTGGAGGGCAGACTCCCAGTAAACAAGGAAGTCACTGAGGTGTGGTTGTGATTTGCACACCAGATGTGAATTTTCCTTTTGGCTTTGGGCTGGGCAGAAAATAACACAGCACGCACATGATTCATCAGTACTGAATGCACACAAGACTGTTTCCTGTGCAAGCGGCTGGGAAGGGCTGAAGACTGCAGAATCACAAAAGCCCCCCTAGGAGCCAGGAGAAATCACAGGGGCACCACCTGCCATCTTTCAAATTGGACCTTCCATTTCCGCACCCTCCGGGTCCCTATTTGGGCCTGATGATTAGACGTGTTAAACGCTCTTGGTCCTTTCTAGATGAGAAATCCAGTTACTTCTGGGCCTCATCTGCATTTTTTTTCTAAGAGAAATCAGGAAATAGCCACTCTATAGAGATGAATTTTTTACAAGCACTGATAACTCCTATTAGAAAACCTCCAGCCCAGAGCCTAATGATTACAAAATGACAGTATGTAAAGGAGCTAGAATACTGCTTCATGAGCCATTTTTGCAACTGTTAGTAGCTCATGTCTGGCAGCAAAAACTATGAGTCGCCTGCCAGTTTGGGGATACGTTATTGTTACCCTTGGCAGTTAATCATGTTACTGGGTGGTCTTTATGCTTGTATTTTATACTTTGAATGATATCATATCAATGAAACAGGCATGTGACAACTGTCAACAAAGTTATTGGTTTGAGAAAAAGGAATAATTGCTTTCAACAAACACTGATGCCAGAAATAGCGCTAATATGGAAATATGCCTATGTTCTGTAACATACGCTATAGAATCTGGTTTTTGGCTGTGAACAAGATAGAGTATTTTTTAATAATAACTCTGTATATAAAATGTCCTTTCTCTTGTTTCAGTTATTGAGGAAGGAAAAAAGCTAATACCAACTGAGTTATTTTCTCCTTGAAAGAAACAAGAACTGAAGTAGAAACCTGTATTTGGTTGTAAAATAATTTTAATGTGTATTTTTCAGTATTTTACAAAAATTTATTTTTACAGTCAGGACAATTAAAATATTTGTAACAAAGTATGTAATAGGCTCTGGAGTAATAACAATATTATTAATGAAGAGTCCTTCAAGAGCTTATAATTCATTTGGGGAAACAATAATATCGTCTTTAAAATGGCATTTATAAATACAAGATATTTATAAGGTTTTGTGGAGTGACAGGCATCATTGGTAATATATAAAGGCGAGTTGATTGGGAAATTAGGTACTGAGAAAGATTTGATCAAAGACTCACAGGAGGTTCGGATGTTCTAGAAGACACAAGTAAGCAAGCAGCATGGGAACGCAGGATCCCTGGGGCCCCTGTTGGTGAAACTGCTCGTTCCCTAGCAAACTTCATCACTTCCAGGAAAGATGGCGCCCAAAGGCCACCATGCCTGTACGGCTCCTCCATGCCTCCAGCACAGAGCACAACACACTGAATGTGAGGAGCATGGTAAACATGCAAAATGAAAGAGAAGGATGAGTGAATGGATTCAGGAATTTAAAGGAAGGACAGGGTATGGAAAAAATAACAGTACCTTAAGAAATTACAAGGAAAGAGAAGAGGAAAGTATACTGCATCTGTAGAAAAGCTGATTTACAGGCTTCGAATAGGCCTTGTACATGACATCATCAAACACTTGACTCATTTTTAAGCACCTGGCTCATTGAATCATACACCCTATGAATATGTATAAGCTATTGTTTGGAAAAGTGGTTTGAAAAGAGTGGTGAATGAAGGTGAGAATATTATATTCTTTTTAAAAGCTAAAATAAAAAAAAAAAAGAATTTAGGATGTACCTATGAAAATATAATGGAAAAGGAAGACATGCTGGGATAGTCTAATTAGGTGTATTGATGATTGAAGATGAAGCCAGAGAGACAAATTAAAGAGAAAAAAGTTTCCACATTCAATGAAGAGGACAGGGATGATACAGACATAACCATGAGGAGTTTAGGCAGGGTTTAAAATATTGGAGTTAGGTACAAATATAAAGATAGTGGACACACACAAAAATTCCCAACAGCGGCTCACTCCCAGAGCCAATGCTAAATGTTACTAAAACCTAGTGTGGTTTAAATTCAGAGCTTCGTTGTTCAGATAAGAAACCCACGATCCAGGAGCTCTGCCAGGGATGATGAGACTGCATCCCCCCTGCTCCCCACAGCCACAGCCTCCAGAGCTGAGCATCAAGCACACCTCACATGTGTGACCCAGCAAGAAGCCAGGGCCAAGGGCTGCCTGGAAAGGCCAGCTGCATTGAGGGAAAGAAGACTATGAAAAATGCAAAAGGAGGAAATGAAGTAGAAGTTTAATTCCTACGCACCCAGCTTACACTTCAGTGAAAGGACCTGGAAGAGCGTGGGCGACAGGAACCAGGATGATCACACACATGTTAGGTTTAGAATGTTAACCTGAATAATGAGAACGATACATTACTTCCTAAAATATCTTCAATTAATATAAGGATTTGTGTACAGAAAGAAAAATGAATTAAAAACAGAAAGTTCTCTCAGTATTGTTTGATTTGCCTTATTTAATATTCTTATGTATCTCTCTAAGGAAACTGTTTACCTTTCAGGCCAAAACTCCATTAAACTTGGGTAATCTCTGTAATTGCTTCTGTTTTCATTTTTCGGTACATTCCTCCAGAGCAGGCTATCTCTGTTTTGCATATCATATGGCCTTCTGTCTTGGGTTTCATGAGGATGTTGGGAGAAAGATTTTGTACCAAGCCACTTCTCTAATGGAAACTGCATCCAAGGGTACCCGTTCTCGCCGAGCTCCCTGAAGGCAGGAATGTAGATACCTCTTCTCTCCGGGAAGCCTCATCCCTCCAGCCTTGCTCCAACCCCAGATCTCCTCTTCAGTCCCTTCTCTGAAGGATCCCTTTTTCTCTCTAGTATCTCCAATGTTAGTCAAACCTTTCCTCTCTTCCTATAAATATATCCACCTCTTTCCCATTTTCAGAAATCTTTTAAATTGTATTTTATTACATTCATTTGTCATAAAAAACATCCAAATTGCATAATAAATTCTTAAGTACAGTATGCCAAAAAAGTAATAAGCTCACTTTTACATGGAAATATTATCATATCCTTAAGGAATATATGATTCCAACTTTACATAACTTATTTCAGACACAGAAGCAAAACTTCTCGGTTTGAGGTATTGTTTTTCTTATAATCTTGCAAGTAAGTCTAGGCCAAAGGCATTATGAGAAAAGGAAATTCACAGACTAATCTCACTTAAAAACATGGCTGAACACATTCCTAGCAGTCCTTGCAAATAAGATGTGTGCGTCTCCACTCTCACAGGTGTGCACACAGCACACTTATTTCATTGTGGCCAGGGCTCCTCCAGAAGCACAGGATGGTCAGAAATTCCACCAGTGCAATTCTGTTACCATCACAGGAACAGGCCTTAAAGGGAGCAGTAAAAAAGTATTGCTATTGTTTTGTAAAGAAGGGGTATAAAACAGACGCTCTAGGAGAGCTGAAGGCCTGGTAAGGCAGGGAGGAAAGGGTGCAAACCCTGGGCAATGGGTGACAAGCAAGCCAGTTGTCACAGGAGACCAGAGAGAGAAAGAGGATTAGAACAGGACCCACAGTACCTGGAGACCTGAGGACATTCAATTTCTAAAACATCAATCTGTCCAATGAGCACAATAAAAGTTTACCTCTTTCCCCCGTCTTGTGACATCACTGAAAACATTAATGATGAAATGAAAAATTAAGCAACCACCGTGTCATCGATTGCAAATAACAGAAAACTTGTAAATTCCAACTGAGGGCTCTGTATGTGATTTGTTGTAATTGCTATTAACCACCCTAGATAATTCAGTCTTTCCAGAAATGTAATTCTTTTTTCTACCACAAAATAGGTGCATTGATTTATATTTGCCTTTTTGTAAATCAAGCTCCTACATGATTATGTTCCCAACTTTAAGGAAAAATAAAATGACTACATTTTTAAAAGAATTCAGTCTTCTATCTTGTTATGGATTAAAAACTGGCGGTTAACTGAACACCAGCTGAATTAAATCAGCATGGTGCTGCATGTAGACAGCCCACCTGAGGAAAGTTGCCAAGATAAATAGAGACGTGGAGAGAAAGAGCTGGGCGTGGTGGATTCTCCTACGTGCTGCAGTTTCAAGACGTTGATTCTCCTAGAGGAGCTCATCATGACTAGCTTCCCCAATATGAGTTTGACCATTATCATCTGAGGAGCTCAGGATTTCCATGTTGCTGGGGATGGCTGTAGTACTTTTCAGGACAGCCCTTGTTCTTATTTTGAGCATGACTTCTTGGCTCCAGTGTAGAACTTTCAACCTACCGACCTAACTACTTCACCCTGCTGGCAAAGACTTTCTAGCCTCTACCGCTGACCTTCGGGCCTTCCCAGCGCGGATCCATAGAACAGACTCATGTGAGTCTTCTTGTGGGCTCCAGACCTCCAGCTGGACTCGTGGGAGACATTGTTATGGGCTCTAGGTCTACATCTGGACTTATGCAGGACATTGCTGTGTGAATGAGGCACTTGGCTGAAAACTCGGGAGTTTTTAGAGTTGTAGACAGATTCCCTGCACTTTCTTGTGTTTAACTCGGGTGCCCATCATAAAATAACATTATAAATTCTGTGTCCTGATTGTAATTGTTCTCCTCACAACCCCTGACTTCCACACATCTTCAACTGAAAATATTTTTTTCAGCATGAATCACTATTAATAAATGTAGTCCATGATAGGCTGCCCGGACAGGAGCAAATCAGTGCCCTCCCTCCAAAAAAA